AAAGAAAGAAAGAAAGAAAGAAAGAAAGAAAGAAAGAAAGAAAGAAAGAAAGAAAGAAGGAAGGAAGGAAGGAAGGAAGGAAGGAAGGAAGGAAGATAAAAAGGAATAAAAGATACATGATGGTCGGCTATGCACCCAGCCAAATTTAAATAAATAAAAAGCACAAGGAAAAAAATAATAACAATTATTTCCACAATGAAGACTCCCTAAGACAACCCCGCCCCCGAGCTTCATGGAAGCTATTTTTAGCAACACCAAGTGATAAAATTTGCACATTAAATTTAAATAGGGTTCGAAAGGATGCAGTTACAACAGGACAGCAAACTCTCAATTTAGCAAGGGAGGAAAAGGTGCAATAAACAAGAGAGGAAGATTGTAAGCAACAAAACACCATTAATTGACATACATAAAAATATATAGATAAGGTAAAATTATATATAATAAAATACATAAAAGGTTTCAAGAGTTTCTTCAACGAAGTATGTTCTATCTGATGGCATTTTCAACAGACATGTATTGCACAAGGAGGACAAGTTCAAGAAACCTTTTAGATATGCTATTTCCAAAGGCCCACTTAAAAAATATGTCCACATACGGTTTCCACAAAAATACGACCTACCCTGAAAGTAAGTCCTAACTTGATTTTTACATGTGCGTTCAATATAAGCCCTACCCCCAAAATAAGCCCTAATTAAGATCCCACCTACTCCGGAGTGCACAGGTAAAAATTAAGCTAAGGTGGGGATGGGGATGGGGATGGGGGTGGAGCTGCCCTACTACTTACCTTTGGACAGTTGTAGCCAGGCCTCACACACCCTGACACCTGACTTGCTGGCCCATTTCTTCTGCAGCTGGCAAGGCTTTCCTGAAGGCCTCTATAACTGATAACAAAGCTCAGGATCGATCCAGAGCTCTGTTAATGGCTGCAGAGGCCTTCAGAAAAGACTTGCTGTCCGCAGAAGAAACAGAAGTCCCCGAAGGCCTCTGACAGTGAAATGGAGGCCAGGGGCGACACGCACAAGTGAAGTTAGTCAGTGGATGACATCCCCCAAAAATAAGACCTGGTGCCTTTTTGGGTGGCCAAAATAAATATAAGACAGGCTCTTTTTTCGGGGAAACACGGTAGTTGATACACTATGCAGGGTGTGGCTGAAAGCTAATATCGGGTCATCCTCGACTTAGACCACAACTGAGTCCAAAATTTATGTTGCTAAGTGCTTCACATTCGTCAAGTGAGTTCTGTTCCATATTGTGAACTTTTCCCGCCAAATTTGCTAAGCGAATCATTGCAGTTTTTACATTAATCACACGGTTTTTAAGTGAATCTGATTTCTTCCTTGATTTTGCTCATTGGAAGTATGGCCAAAGAGACACCCCTCCGGGGGGGGGGGGGCACCACAAATGTCATAAATGTGAGTCAGTTGTCAAGCATTCTGAATAGGGATGCTGTCACGGTCGTCTGCTGTTATGACTTGCAATGTTCAGGGTGAACTTTAGGAGGAAAAAAAAAAAAAGATATTTTGGCAGATTGCTCTTCGGAAGAAGTGAGAGACCTGCAAATTCCAGGTATAAAACCTGGAAGGAGCAATAAGTTAACTTGCAGCAATGAATTGAGACTGTAAACTAGAAATAGTGCTTTACCCTTCAGTCTTAGGATAAATGTCTTTGTGAATGGTAAGTGATGATATATTTTGGTTCTGACAACACAGTAAACTGCTATTTAACTTGTAGGCTTTCCCACAGTCCAGAATGTTCTTAATAAATATTTTTTTGCTGTCTCGTATCGGAATTTTTCTACGGGCAATAAAACGATGCGTTAACTTATTGTTATATAAGTAAGTTATACTTTTGGCCTGGATATGATTGACTTATTTGCATGACTTCTTTACATGACTTCTGCTGATACGACGCTGTTCACCTGAGGTCCAGCATCTCCTCCACTCAAAAGCTCTGTCTGACCATTTCCTTGGAGGTTATGACCTTCGTTTCAAACTAGAAAACATTAACTGAAATGTCTGCTATAAAAACATTCCTGAATATATATCAACCCCTTATACAACAAGTTTCCCCCCCCCCCCCCCCCATGAACCCTGAATTCTTCTTCATTCATAGAGAGACATATTGTTGAACAAATTCTGTCAGGGGGTGAAGATGGTACAATGGCAATTGAATATCCAAAGTCTCAAAGGTGCTTTGAAAAAAAGGCAACTGATTTTGAGGAAGAGGAAGAAGGAGGTTGGAGGGGGAGGGGAGAAGGAGGAGGAGACGAAGGAAGAGGAGGAGGAAGGAGGGAAGAAGAAGAAGAAGAAGAAGAGGAGGAGGAGGAGGAGGAGGTGGTGGAGGAGGTGGAGGAGGAAAAGAGATGAAGAAGGGAGGAGGGGAGAAGAAAGAGTATGAGGAGGGGAAGGGGAAAAGGAGGAGACGGAGGAGGAGGAGGAAGGAGGGAAGAAGAAGAAGAAGAGGAAGAAGAAGAAGAAGAAGAAGAAGAAGAAGAAGAAGAAGAAGAAGAAGAAGAAGAAGAAGAAGAAGGAGAAGGAGAAGGAGAAGGAGAAGGAGAAGGAGAAGAAGAAGAAGAAGGAGAAGAGGAGGAGGAGGAGGAGGAGGAGGAGGAGGAGGAGGAGGAGGAGGAGGAGGAGGAGGAGGAGGAAAGTAGTAGTAGTAGTAGTAGTTGTTTCACTTCATCTTTGAGACAACTATGACCTGGGTGACTGAGAATCTCCGTAGACCTGAGCACCCAAAGCCACTCCGTGGGAACAGAAGTGGTTGGTCTCTCCTGCCGATTTCATCGTAATTTTTCAAAGGGAACCCACGAAGTGAAGGGCAGCTCGCTGAAAAGCCCCTAGTTCCTACCCCCCTTTTTGGCCGAGGGAGCAACAGAAAATTAATTCTGCTTCGATCCTCCGTGTCTCTTTTCTTAAAATACCAACCTGTGAAATACTTGCTATATTCCTGTTCTATCTTCTGAGCCGTCTCAAACTGCTCTTTGGAATGTTTCTGGGTCACCTTGTCTTTTAAGAAGACGGGATCCTTTTGCTCTCTGGAAAACACAAATACGTACACATATCCGTCTCTATCTTGTTAAATGAGATAATTAAACCCAGCAAAGACCATAGGGATGTGAGGACATCGCCCTCTAGTGCCCACAGAAGGAACAGCAAGGACTTTCCAACCCGTCACGATGTCCCAAGCAACCTGCCCTCATGGGCAGCAATGGGTAGTCCTTCGACTTATGACTGCAACGGAGCCCCCAAATTTCTGTTGCTATGCAAGACGGTTGTTAAGTGAGTTTGGCCCCATTTTACAAACTTTCTTGCACCAGTCGTTACGGGAATTGCTACCGTTGTTCAGATAGGAAGGCGATTGTTAAGTGAATCTGGCATCTCCATTGACTTTGCTCATCGGAAGGTCACAAAATGCGATCATGTGACCACAGGGGCCTTGCAATCGTCATATGTACATCCCAGTAGCCAAGCATCTGAATTTTGATCAGGTGACTGTGGGGATGCTGCAATGGTCAACAAGCCCATCCGGCCAGAAGATGAATAGTTGTCTGTCACACCTATTCATCTCACCCCGCTGTCTTTTATCCCCAGAGCTAGGGTGGGGCCTCACTAGCAGTGGTGGCTCTTCCGTCCGAAGGACCGGCCCATGGATTTCCACTGCTCTCCTCTCCTCTGCCTTCTGTGCATCTCTGTGTTAGGCACTGGACCCAGCTGTTCCTCCTCTTCCTCATCAGCCACCTCCAGACCTGGGGGCTGTTGACTCTCCATCTGAGGGCTGATGGACGGCCCAGGCTCCACCTCCCTCTCTCTCTCTCTTTTTCTCTCTGTCTCCCCCTCCCTCCCTCTCTCTCTGCCAGCTCCATTCCCTCTTCCCCTTCAGAGCCCCCAGGTTGCCTTGATGCTGAGCCTGATTCCCACGCCTCCTCCTCCGATTCGGCTGCTGGAGGGGCCGGTGGCCAACGGGCCACAACACCTGTATCCACCCCTAGTTCATGAACAATATATGATGCCTACCATTCTTACCCTCTATTTTTTTTAACAAGTGTCATTAGAAAACATACACTTTATTTTGCAAGCTTCTGGGCCTTAGCAATATGGCAAAGGCCAGTCTGCTAGAGCTTAATTCATCCTGGTTTGCCCTTCCTGGGCTGAAGCCAGTTTCTCCCCTTGGATGTATACACAACATGAATCAATACAACATGAATCAATACACGGACACCGGAGACAAAGCACTGATGGGGAGTGAACTTTGTATTCCCCTAATGGACCCCTGGAATTGACCGGCTTATTGCCTTCTAAGCCTTTTGAGGTTGATGGGGAAGAGGATGGCCATGGATCAGCTTGGAGGCTTTTCTGAAGGACTAAGAAGTGGAAATAGTTGCCATTGGAAACACAGAATAACAAAGTTGGAAGGGACTTTAGAGATCTTCTAATCCAACCCCCAGCTTAGGCAGGAAACCCTACACCACTTCAGACAAACGGTTGTCCAATCTCTTCTTAAAAACTTCCAGTGTTGAAGCATCCACAACTTCTGGAGGCAAGTTGTTCCACTGATCAATTGTTCTGACTGTCAGGAAATTCCTCCTTAGTTCTAGGTTGCTTCTCTCCTTGATTAGTTTCCACCATTCCATTTTCCATTCCAAAAATGTTCACTTTTACTATCATGTCATATGGACATATTTTTTTTCCGTCTACCTCTTATAAATGCTAAAACAATGGAGCCTTTGGCTTGATTTCTCCTTGCTCCTTTTGAAACTCTTCTCTTGGGTCCTTGGATGGGAGATGACCAAGAATTCCCATGACTGTAATCTTGGTTGGGAATTTGCAAAAATATCTCCCCAAAGACAACAGCAATGTGCCCAAAACTCTCACATGGATATACCCATACAGTTGGACAAAGTCAAAGTCAACACTAGAAAAACCCTCACTCTTGATGACCAATATTTTATATCTCAACTAGGTTCATGTCAATAATTACCTGTCCTAATGAGCACCTGAAGTGCCTCTCATTCTGGCAAAGGTTTGCGACTGATTAGGCATGTTTCTTATTATGTGTTATATACCATGAACATGAATGCCCAGTTTAATTCAGTTGGCTTCAAGTCCAGCTTACCAGAAGGAATTGTTAGGAGAAATCCTACACGCTGCACAGGAATGCAAATGAGAATCGTTGTTTTAAAAACTGAGGATTGGTGAGGAGGAGGAGAAAGATAAACTCTACAACGCCGTACTTCACACTTACTTGATCTGCTTGGCATTTTTGTAGCGAACAAAGATGACTATTGGGTAGATGTGAATGCTGTGCAGCCTCTCAATGGCATGAGGTGCGATGTCCAAGAGACAGTGGCAATCCTAAGAAAGGAACAAGAGAGGCCTTCTGGTTGGTTATTCAAGACCCTACGATGGGGTTCATTCAGCAGTCTTAACAAAGGATTCTACAAGGCTAATCAATGTTATTAGTCCCATATTGTAGGGGAGAGTTGGACTCAATGGGAGCTTGTCTATTGCTCTCCACTAAATCCAAAACCAACCTACCTATCTCTCCTCTCTCCCCTCCCCTCTGTTCCTTTCTCCCCTCTCCTTCACTCCCTTCCCTCTCCTTTCCCCTCTCCTCCCTCTCCCCTCCTCTCCCTCCCCTTTCTCCTCCCCTCTATTCCTCTCTCCCCTCTTCTCCCCCTCCCCTTCTCTCCCTCTGCCTTCCCTCTCCTTTCCCCTCCGTTCCCCTCCCCTTCTTCTTTGGTTAGGGCTGTTTCTAGTTGAACATGTAGTGCAAACAAAGTCATTGACCAAATCAATGGTTTGTTTTCACAATCCGAAGCCACAATTCTCCTGTGGTTCACACAATTAGAGAAGGAAAATGTGGTTTCCTGCCTCGTCTGTGCTGTGCCTTTCCCAACCCTGTAACTATTTTTTTTATAGATGGAGTCAACAAGTTCTAAAATAAGGAAGGAGAACAAGCCAAGAAGGGGTCAAATAGAATTGTTCCTTGGCTCAACCTGCAAGATGGGTTGATTCTGGCTTGTTCAAGAAACCATGATGAAAACCAGCCCAACGTGTCTGTACCATTTTTAAACACCAGCGTTTTGAGATAGCTGAGAAGAAATTGCTTTTGTTGGGTTTCCAGATGGCTCCGATCCTATCCTATTTCAAAATGTTTGGGGCAATTTCCCAGTTTCTTATTCAGGAAGCCTACAGGGTTAAACTTGAATTTTTACAATTGTGTTCTTTTTTTTCTTTTTTCTTCTATCAAGAGGATGAGACTTGAGACGAAAGAAAAAGCACCTTCTCGGTTATCTCCTTTATGGAAGCAACAGTTGTCACGTCAAAATGCCCGCTCCTACGTTTATAATCTATGAATAGGCAGTCTTTCACACCCCGTTCGATAGCTTGCTGAGAAGCTTTCATCACCTCTGTTTGGAAAACAAAAACAAACCACGGTTTATTAGGTTTTAGCCAAAATACACTGATTTAACAGAAACATTTTTTTTTTCCTGATCCAGGTTTCACTGGTGCAATTATCGGTGGCATGGATCTGGGGGAAAGGCTGTTTGGGATCATCAAGGAATACATCCGCCATCTGCAAATTTTTTATAGCAAAACAGGTTTTCTTTCCTCCTTTAAATGGCTCTTTAATTCTCTTGTATCAGAGTGGAGTTGGGGAGACTGGATGGAGCTGAGCTGGATGGATGCCCTTCCTAACGCCTATGCGGAGTTCACAGCAGATATTTTCTCTTTGTGCCCAGAGAGAGAGAAATATCTGCTGCTACTTAGGGTCGAACTCTGCAACCTCCTGGTTGTGAAGCGAGAGCACCATCTGTAGGCTACCACATGCCTCTCTTTCATAGCAAAACAGTTATCAGAGCGAAATATATAACGTGGCAAAGAAAGGAGAATACTGTGTGTGGTGTATATAAAAAATGAGAACAGAAAGAGACCTGTTATTATCTTAATCTTTTCAAGGCTGGATCTGTTGATTGTGGGTGGCAAACAGACCACGGTATGAAGTTAACCAGACAACTACAAAGAATGGCAAAGCACATGACATACTAGAAACATTTTAAAAATACATCTTGTTAAAACACTTCAGGGCACTAAACCTTTGGAAAAGCAACCTGTCACAAGCAATTAAGCTGAGAATTAATTGTAACTGCTTTTTCTTCTTCTTTAAAGCACACAAAGAAACTGTAATATGGCATTGATAATACACAGCATCTGCTTCAGGAAATTAGATCAAACGTTAGAATCTGAAGAAAGCAAGAAGGTTTTCCATGATGTGTGTGTGTGTGTGTGTGTGTGCGTTGCACAATCAGGTTGAGATATGCAGCAAAATTAAATAGGAATATGTTATTTATTTGCATCCCACCTTTATTGTTTTTACAAAAAATGCAAGGTTGGCAAACATATCCAATACATCTACCTCCTCCTAATTTCTTCCCAACAATAACCATATGAGCAGAGTTGGGTTGAGAAGAAGAGAGTCACTGGCCTAAAGTCACCCAGCTGGCTTGCATAGCGAAGGCTGGACTAGAACTCACAATCATCTAGTTCCTAGTCTGGTGCCTTAACCACTAGGCCAAACTGTCTCTCCTTCTCTCTCTCTCTCTCTCTCTCTCTCTCTCTCTTTGTCCCACCATGAATATGGTGGCAGGTCACTGAGTCATGAAGGTGGGAAGAGAATCCCTTTTAAAATATTCCCTAACCATAATGAACTGCCATCTGCCTGCAATTTGGCATGTCAAATCTCACCAGGCTCAAGGTTGACTCAGCTTTCCATCCTTCCGAGGTGGGTAAAATAAGGACCCAGATTGTTGGGGTGATATGCTAACTCTGTAAACTGCTTAGAGAGGGCTATAAAGCACTGTAAAGCATTATATAAATCTAAGTACTATTGCTATAAGTCTCTGAAAATATAAATTAAGAATAGGCTCTTGCTGTATGGACAGACTAAGTTACCTGAATACAGGAGGAGGCTGGATTCTCACCTAGTTTCCTTTGTGCCCTGTCCAAATTTGTAACTATTTTAATAGATGAAGTCAACAACTTCAGATGGAATAGAAATTTAAGAGTTGCCTAAGGCAACAAAAGGCACGATGAAAAAGTGAATGGAGAAAACATTTCATGCCGAAGAATCTTTTTTAAAAAAAAAATAATCCAAGAAGTCTCTTGGATGATCAAGTCAACCTTTGAAGAAGGACTACTTGGTAAGATGGTTCGTCTACTCATTTTTTACTTCCTAGTCTGAAGGTTCGGAGAACAGGATGTCCAACACACCATAAATAAAAAGCAGCTGGCATCCAAGTCACATAAATAGACATTAATTGCATTAACGAAAATACTTTTCGAATATTTTCAGGAAGCTCCTTCCATAAACAGATGTTATGTGTAGGTAAAAAGGAAACCTGGTAAAAAGGAAACCTGTTACGTTACAGGAGAGAGAGAGAGAGAGAGAGAGAGAGAGAGAGAGAGAGAGAGAGAGAAAGAAAGAAAGAAAGAAAGAAAGAAAGAAAGAAAGAAAGAAAGA